ACCCAAGGTACATATACACCAAGTATCAAAGCATTCAGGCTTGTAGTTTTCAAGAAGAAGTCGAAAAAGTAAAACATTGACACGGACGACGGACGACAGACGACGACGACGACGGACAATCACTCATATGATAAGCTCCGCTCGACAAAGTCAACAGCGGAGCTAAAAAAGAACTACTGTTTCTCCTTTAATATACATTTTTTGGACTCGCTGGCTGTTATGTTTCTGATAAAAAATAAATGTAAATTACGTAAACAATGGTGAACGCGCTGCTCTATTTATGTCAACTATTTTGCGTTCACTCCTCGTTTTATGCAATTGACATTTATTTTTCAAATTTTGTTATCAGAATCACAACAGACTGCAAGGACGTAAACTTTTAATACAACGAAAAAAATAGGTTTTTGTTTTTTTATTTTATTACAGGTGTAGAAAAAACACCCCTGGGCGTTTGCTAGGATATGACCTCAACTCCTTTATTTTATCAAAAGTGGGGGGTGGGCGTTTTAGGAAAATATATGCGGTACATGTATGTGTGTTTTTGGATGTGGCAATAATCTTCTCATACATTGTATCTGTTAATACAGTTGAACATTTCCAACTGTGTTCTGTGATGCAAGAAATGAGATCGCTTTCAAATTATTAGAGTTCGTTAGCGGTACTCGCAGGATTTTCATTGCCTCACCACACATGGATATAAAAGGTGAATTTCCTTATCTTATACATCCTTGACACAACCCAATATTATACTTGTATTATACTATAAGGTTATTACGAGACTACCTCATAGTAAGCATGAAGACCAGTACAGTACAGCTGGACTATCGACCGACGTGCAGCGGATGTCGATGCGCAGCGTACTGTCTGAGTGCATACTTTGAGGTATTCTTGTAATAACCTTATTATTATACATCTTTTCCTTCCAAGGATACACCATGGGAATGTAGAATCCAAAATGTTTGAAACAGAATCAGCAAACTTCTGTGTGTGGGTCCAGTCAACCCTGATG